GCTGAAATTAAGTTTAAGTAACATGTCAGAAATAGCTTATTTCCAAAGAATTAATAATGTTGCATCAGTTATAACTGTATTTGTGGACAGACAATAAGAGGAAAAGCTCCAAGTGAGGAATAAAGCTCCGAGTAAGGAGTGAATCTAAATTCAATGAGTTCTCTTAATAATCTTTACTAGTAGGGGAAAGGTTATGTGATAGCCACATTTTTATACTTTGAATAGCTCATCAATTCAATCTTCTTATAACCATTTAATAAACATAAAAATTAACTGCCATGTATTTCAGCTCTCTTTTCTTCCTTTCTATATCTCTAGCCAAAGTACTAATGAGCACTAAATATATAAAGGATGAAAGAGAAAAGGATATATATTCTAAAAGAACAGATAAATTAGATGTATTGAATATTTGAGAGCTGGCTATATGTTCAGTGTAAAAAATTAGGCCTAATTTAGAAAAAAAATGTGGTCAATCAAGCAATTGAAATTGAAATCTTTTCCATTGGCATATGTGTTGACCTATACTTAGTAAGTTATAATTAAATTCACTCTTAGCTACTACAGGTAAAATCCTTTCCTAAAGAACTTTGAATAGTTTGGTTATATTAAGTTTTTTCCAAAATGAAAAATAATTTGTACTGGTTGGTTGCAATTTTGTAAAAGTATACATTTACATGGATGAGAACTAGAAGGCATTATACAGAAATGGTTAAGGTGATGGTATGATTTTTTTTCTTTTTTCAGTATACTTTAATATTATTGGTCTTCTGAAAAACTAATCTATTTCTAGAAACCACATTCCCAGTCAATTGGCCTAGCTGCTGTAATGAATTAATAAGCTAATAGTAATGCTTTGAACCAGTAACAGAAGGAAGCTACTACTAACCACCCACAGTCCTTTTTTCCTTCTGTTTGGTGGGTGGTTTGAGGATTTGTTTTCTTTAGACTATTTGTTTTGTTTAGGATTTTGTTTTGTTAGGATATTTGAGAGGGGAAAGACTTGTGGACATTTTGTCAAATGGCAACTGTAGCTGCCCTGGAAAATGAAATGTAAAGTAGAAGAAAGTGGGATATGTGAAGGAGCAAGAGCCCCTTGTAGAAAATTTTACTTAAGAAACATGAAATTTATAGTTCAGTCTCGTTCATGTTATTCCTACACAAAAACCATGCAAGAGTTTTTTGACTCCTAGAAGAGACAGAAAGAGGTCAAGACAAAATAGCCTGTATCATGGCTCAGGCCTAAGATGAGCCTTAGGACTCCGCTTATAGTTTGGATACATTAGGGAAGGAAGTACTTGGTTTAATGGAAAACCTGAGTTTTACCCCTTGTATACCACGGGAGTTAGCCCAATCTTTTGCATTATCTATCATATAACAAATTACTCCAAACTTACTCCAAAACTTAATGGCTTAAAACAAACAAATATTTATCTCAGTTTCTGTGAGTCAGAAATTCAGGAGTGACTTAGCTGGGTGGTCCTGACCCAGGATTTCTCTTGTTGTTGAAGTCAGGATGTGGGCTAGGACTGCAGTCATCTGAAGGCTTGACTGTGGTTGGAGGATCCACTTCCACGATGGTGCACTTACATGACTGTTGGCAGGCGGCCTTTCCAGGTGGGCCTCCCGTTAAAATCTGGCAGCTGACTTCCCTCAAAGTAAGTGATCCAAGAGAGAGAGAAAGATGCTTTCTACGACCTGATCTCAAGTCACATACCTTCACTTCTACTTTATTTTGCTCATTAAAAGTGAGCCACTAAGTGCTCCAGGAGCAAGGAATTAAGCTGCACCTCTTGAAGAGATGAGTATCAAATTTTTATAGATATATTTTAAAAGCAACACAGATACTGTAGATTGTTTGTGGTATACAGAAGAGAGTACCAAATGATCAAGAGGTGGGGTGGGAGGCTGATATTTAATTCACCATTTGTTAAATATTGATGACAGGTAAGGGAACTTGGCAGAAATTAATAGTGAATTTTAACTTCCTGAATCCTATCATTATTAATTTTAGAGAAAAGAAATAGCATAGCCTATCAACTTAAGAACAATTTCAAAAATTCTAATACAAACATAGACTTTCCAGAAGAGAATAGCTGAGCAATGCTTAGAGAACCAAGAAACTGTTGCATGTTGTTACTAATTCTTTTTTATAACCAATTTTAAAAATCGAAAATATGTGTAGATAGGAAATCAAATAACACAAAAATGCATACACTTATTCTTGACAAAGACTATTCATCTCTTGTTCTCAGAACATTGTCCAACATAGTAACTTATGTCTGATAGCAGTAATTATTCAAATGACAATTTTTTATTTATAAAATAACAAATACAAAACTATAAATTGTCATTGTTTAATTCACTTTTTTAAAAAACAGGTTTATAATGTACTGAGTTATTTTTATAATCTTGGAAATTAGATTTTTATAGAATTTGCTTCTGGGATGTAGTTCACTTGTCAAACTAAATATTATCTTAAGTGTCTAGAGTTTGAAAGAAATTGTTTGCCCCCCCTCTTTCTATCCCACTTTTTGTTTTGGTGGAGAGTTATACAAAATTCTGGAGTGTTTTGATGCAAGAAAATATGTAGAGAGCAATGATATAGAACACAAAAAAGAATTTTGTGATATTGGTAAATTGTTTTTCTTCATTCATTCAATAATTCTGAATTCCTGCTGTGTACCTGACACTACCAACCACCGGAGAACAAAGAGATATTATCCCTGTCTTCTGGCTTAAATTCTTGATTAAATAATCAAAATTGACATTATTTCAGTTATTTCAGATTCTAGAATCCAAAATATGAAGTAAACATAGGAGTTTCTTTGAACTTTTAACTATTTAAGTAGAGGTCATGTGTTCTTGTGTTCAAATAGCTGATTTTATGCTTCATTTCTGAATTTCTCTATATATGTCTAATTTATGCTTTATATATGTCTTTGTTTTTTCATTTGAGTTAATCAAAAACTTAAAAATACAACCAGTACAGTTGGTAATATAAGGTGTCAGTTAAACAGTTTGCAGATTTCAAATATAGCTATCATTGTGATTAGATCAGCAGATATCATCGCTTTGAAGAGCAGGAAAGATTTTGTAGGTTTAGAATAGTGAAACAGTGATGTAGCTGTGGAGCTGCCATCAGTGCTAACATTGAGGAAATAAGATGTGCCATACCTGGCAATTGCAAGTAAATATAGAAGTTCTGACATATTTGAAGAAAGCTGATG